AATTTGAAATAAATTAAAATGCAACTTAACAAAGTTTGTGGAATGTAGAGAAAAAGTATGTACAAGGAAATTTTTATCATTAAAAACCTATAATAGAAAAGAAGAAACATAAAATTAATAACCTATGCTTCCATCTTAAGAAATTATAGAAAGATGAGCAATTTAAGTGTAAAGGAAGCAGAATGAAATAGATCATAAAAATTAGAGCAGAAAACAATGAAATGGAAAATGAAAGAGAAATTTAACAAAATCCAAAGCTGGTTCTTTTAAAGGATCAATAAAATTGATATGCTTTTAGCCTGGTTAACAAGAAGGAAGAGAAAAGACACAAATTACCAATATCAAGAATAAGATAGGGGTCATTACTATTGATCCATGAATGTGGATTATAGAAGGATAATAACGAGTATGGCTATAAATTTGATAACCCAGACAAATGGACAACTTCCTCAAAAGACATAAACCGCTAAAAGTCACACAAGGAGAAATGGATAATCTGAAGAGGTCTGTGTCTCTAAAAAATTGAATTATTAATTGTTGGCCTTCCATAAAAGAAAGCACCAGTGCCGGATATTTTCAGCTGGTAACAATGTAGAGATAACAAAAATCATGGTGAAATCTTAAGATGTTCTTTTACTAAGCAGCATCTTTCTCTTCTGGCACATGGAAACATCTTATCCTGACTTTTTTATTTGAGTAAATATCTTCTAGTTTTGCCATCTCCCCTTTCCTTTCAGCTCTGTAACTTACCACACGTAAAATTAATTTATTTTCTAGAAATCACACCCACCTAATGGTGTCCATAGGTTTGTCACTGACAGGACTATTTTGTGCTAAACCAATTTGAAGTTACTATAGTCTTAGTTTTGTAAAAACTTATAACAAATATATGTGAAACCATTAAACTAGAAATACTGACTAATTTTACACAGAACGTAGAGAGTATTCCTCTGGTACTTAACAGTACAGTGAGAAAAAAGTTTAATGCAGCAGGAGCACAACCAATTAAAAGTTGAATGAAATGCATAATGTATACACAAATTTATAGAATTTCTTTATTAATTAAGAAGCTGCCCTGGATAATGTAAATTATAACTTTATATTTTATTAAAAGAGCATGAAAAATACTCCAGGATATGCCAAATATTATGCTGAACCTGCTTAAGAAAATAGTAACAATTGATAATAGTTTTTTATAATATCATAATTTGGGAAAACAATTTTAACCTATTTTATATTGATATTAATTTTTAGGCATAACCTAGATTTTGAAGCCCCTTATCTTTATTTAATAATACCTTATTATTATTATTATTATTGAGACAGAGTCTTTCTTTGTCTTCAGGTCAGAGTGCAGTGGCACCATCTCTGCTGTTTGCAATCTTCGCCTCCCATGTTCAAGCAATTCTTCTGCCTCAGCCTCCCGAGTAGCTGAGATTACAGGCGTGTGCCACTGCACCCAGCTAATATTTTTGTATTTTTAGTAGAGACAGCGTTTCACCGTGTTGGCCAGGATGGCCTCGATCTCCTGACCTCATGATCCGCCCACTTCAGCCTCCCAAAATGCTGGGATTACAGGCGTGAGCCACTGCATAATGATAATATTCTAATCCAAATAGAGCCATGTTTATTTCAGCTCTTGTGGAAACACTAGTGGGATCATTTAAGGTTTACCATATGGGAAAAGGCTAAAATGGGTTCAAAAGGAGCACAACTTCTCAGACAGTAGTCATACACAGAAAAAAGAGCTCTAAAATTAGTAGATTTGTGAAATACCACTTTTATAAAATTAGTGAAATATTGTAACTGTTCAGAAATACCTTCAGATTATATTTTTCATAAATTACTTTGGTTTGTACCTCATGTAGGACAGCTCACTTAAGTATAGAGAAGGGGAAGATTAACAAAGACGTTTTAATGTCTTGGAATTTGAGATCTGAAACGATGGGAGTTAGGAGTTCCATTTTTCCCTCCCATTCTGTGCCTGTTTTCCTCTTTACGGGTGTCTCAGTGATATCGTTGTTTGGTTTGGTGATCTTGACCTATATTTGTGTGTACTTACAGGGTTAGGTGTTGCTTGACTACTTTAGATAGTAAACAACATTTAATTTTACTCTCTTCTATTTGAGTCCTTACATTAATTGATTTTTATTTTTACTGAGAAGCTGTAAAATACATTCATTTAGTGAACCAAAATTAAAGTAAAATAATGCTCCAGCAGTACACGGTACTGCTCATATAAAGGTCAGTTCAATAATATATTATTGAGGAGGCCCTCCAACCAGATGAATCTATAAGGCATTCCTCTGACATTTAGTTGGGTACAGTAATTAGATATTGATCTAATAACTGCCATTCAACAAATATGAGAATGTATACAGCAAATACATTACTTTAAAAGGCATCTCTTTGGAGGATTACTGTAAAATTGACATCATTATCTGTAGATTCACTGGTAAAATTGAGTTATCTAAGGACACAATATATGAGAAATAAATCAGTTCAGTTTCATGTTAGATTCTTAAAAATATATGGAATATTTTAGCTACTCTGCATCAAAAACCCATCAACCAAATCTTACCATATACCTCCCATGATTCATTGCCCAATTTTCTTTCAAAAGGTTAACTCTCCATGGTAAAACTCATCTCTTTTGTGATAAACAAAATTAATATCTTCTTTCAAAATGATTTTTATGACATAACATTTAAATTTAAATTTAAAATTATTTTTATAAAATCTACTGAAATTGATTTCATTTGACTCCAATAACTCTAGAACCCCTTTACCATATGCATACAGCTTTAGCTGATGAGATGTGCTTTAAAACTTTCATTTTTTTGTTTTTTTGTTTCTCTTACATTCTCTATTGGGTGGATACTTCTTTGGGAAGAGAGAGCTCCTATTTTTCTTCTTTTATTTTTAATTATACTTTAAGTTCTGGGGTACATATGCAGGTCATGTAGGATTGTTACATAGGTATACACATGCTATGGTGCTGCATCCATCCCCCTGTCATCTACATTAGATATTTCTCCTAATGTTATTACTCCCCAATCTCCCTACCCCCTACTATCCCTCCCCTAACCCGCCCCAACCCCCAGCAGGCCCAAGTGTGATGTTCCCCTCCCTGTGTCCATGTGCTCTCATTGTTCAACACCCACTTATGAGTGAGAACATGCAGTGTTTGGGTTTTTTTTGTGTGTGTGTCAGTTTGCTGAGAATGATGATTTCCAGCTTCATCTGTGTCCCCACAAAGGACAAGAATTCATCCTTTTTTATGGCTGCATAGTACTCCATGGTGTATATGTGCCCCATTTTCTTTATCCAGCCTATCATTGATGGGCATTTGGGTTGATTCCAAGTCTTTGCTATTGTAAATAGTGCCACAATGAACATATGTATGCATGTGTCTTTATAATAGAACGATTTATAATCCTTTGGGTATATACCCAGTAATGGGATTGCTGTGTCAAATGATATTTCTATTCCTAGTCCTTGAGAAATCACCACACTGTCTTCCACAATGGTTGAACTAATTTACACTCCCACCAACAGAGAGCTCCTACTTTTCTACATCCATCTTCTTTATAATACAGGCAAGGCATCTAGCCAAACAATATGGGAGGAAGAAATTTCAGCTCCTTGACCTAGTTAAGCTTAAAATTGCTTTTGTTGCGTTTAAATTTCCTTCAGCAATATTATAAGAAGTCCTTCAACAGCTTCATGAGATAGAGTGAAATTAATACTTAAACCTTAAGAACTTATTAATATTCAATGCTCTTATATTTAATGACTTATTCCTAACCCCAGATATTTGAGTGACAGTTTTCTGGGAGAATTTGGGAACTGTCTCCATTAAATTTAAAACTCTTAAAATTTTTTCCACAAATAAATTTAAAGAATTACATTTTGTTTACTTTTCTTACACTAAAATACAATAACGTTTTACTGAAATGATTGTTTATTGATATTCTTTCATAGAAAGCCCTAAATTCTTATATAACTTTAATTCTGCTCATATATTACAATAGAATTCCTAATGTAGCATATGATTCACTTTGAACAATTTGTTCTCAAAAAGTCTTTGGATGAATATATGATGTAAATAGTACTTCAGTATCCATGCACTAAAACTTGCCTTTCCCAGGGTTTTTCATTGTAGTCAATTGAATACAAGTTATATAATTTAAATCAGCTGTACTCTTTCAAAAACACAATTTTGAGAAAATTGCCTGTATTAACTGAATTCTTTTCATATGATTTATAAGAAATACTGGTCCAGGAATGGTGACTCACACCTGTAATCCCAGCACTTTGGGAGACTGAGGTGGGCAGATTAGAGTTTGAGACCAGCGTGGCCAACATAGTGAAACCTGCCTCTACTAAAAATACAAAATTAGCCAAGCGTAGTGGCAGGCACCTGTAGTTCCAGCTACTCAGGAGGCTGAGGCAGGCGAATCGCTTGAACTCAGGATGCAGGGAGCTGAGACCATGCCACTGCACTACAGACTGGGTGACAAAGTGAGACCCCATCTCAAAAATAATAATACTTAATTCTTGATAAATGGCTATACTTTTCCAAATTCTAAAGAATTATATAAGGATGATTATAGATTATTACAAAGAAAAGTTATATTAGTAAATAAACAGGGACAAATAATTTAGTGCTTTATTTTATTGTTATTTTAACATGTTTTTATATTTTAAGTTTTTTTATTATTGAAGTTCAGGGGTATATGTGCAGAATGTGCAGGTTTGTTACATATGTATACACATGCTATGGTTGTTTTTTAAAGCAATTAAGTCCAAAATTGTACATTTCATTTTGTGGTTCCAACTACCGAGAATTTTAAAAAACGATTTTAAATGCTAGAGATTAGTAAAAGTGTTAGAATTTTTAAAAGCTTCCTTTATATTCTCTAGAAGATGTAATAGTATGAATATGCATTATAAAGTCTGCCCCTAACTCTTGTCTGTTTTTTTTTTTTTTAAATAAGAGTTTCCTGCTGGTTCAGTTAATGTTGATGTCTACTGTGATGGAATCATTAAAGCCACAACCAAAATTAAATACTACCCAACAGCAAAGGCAAAGGAATGCCTGTTCACAATGGAAGATTCAGGAGAGAGTTTGTACCAGGTGAGTTGATCTTTCCATGAAGTTAATCATAATGTAAGAAGAAGAGCTAATGAAGGATAAGAGGATTCATGCTTTGGTATAAGTTTGAATGTTGATTGAATAAGAATGAATTACACCAATCAATAGGAAGGGAAGAAGCAACCTCTGTTGTGCAAAAATGCAGACTAATTACTTTGCCTAGGTCAAAAAATCCAGACAATGTCAATGGAAAACAGCTTATTAATTACAAGGTAGCCATTGTGATGGGCTCATTTTAAAGCCGTTGCATGCAGATAACTAGAGAATAATTAGAAAGAGCTCCTAAGAAATGAATTTCTTCTTTATTCAGACCTGCATAACACAAAGTAACATGAAAGTCAAATCATCTATCTGATGCTTTGAGATTAAGGAGTTAGACAAACCATAATACCACCAAAAAGGAAATGTGTGGTGTCAATCTAGAAATTGTCACTTTCATGTGCACACTTCCTAGCTTAGTGTATATTTTTCTTACTTTCATTTATTATTGTTATCTGATTGTGAAAGTTATTTTTTGTTTGTGATGTTTTTTAGGAATATGTGCTTATTCCATCAAATTTTGGGAGTGAAATAAATGTCATTTCGGTTTATAACTACTTGATAATTAGAATTTTAACTTTGTTTAATTGCCTCATTTTTTTGTGTGTGGGTGAGGGTAGAAGAAGTTAGAAGTGAAGAAAGGAAGTTGAAGTATTCAAATTTATCATAAAATATACTTTAAGTTTTTTAACAAAACCGTCAGTGATAATGTAGCTGACAAGTTGTCATCATGCTTTATGTGTTTAAACTAGTTTAGAATTGGAGGATTTGTTATTTCATGTGATACATTTTTCTATTAGACTTTTATTTTTGAATTACATGAAAGACATATTTTAGAGCAATGGAAAACGTAAACGTGTCTTATAAAAGGACAGGGGACAGGGAGGGAAATAACTTGTCAAACTGGAGAGTCTGAGGACATTTGACAAAATGTCTATATTGTAATTGCAAAGCAAGTAAAAAAGTAATAGCTTGAAAAACAGATTGTTTCATTTTCTTGTGATAAGTCCACCTTATCCTGTACTTAAAAATTATATTCATAACAAAAAAAGATTCATAAAGATAATATATTGCATTGTGGCTATTCAGTCAGTTTGGAAGTAAAGTGGTCCCCAAACATATTTTCTGTTGGTCTTTCTGTTGTGGGAGAGGATCTTTGAACGTAGTGAAAATTAAATGTAATTTATGACTCCTAGACAATTTTTCAGGATGCTGTAAATATGCAAGTCATGATTTCTTTTACAGATTCACATGAAAACAAAAAGTGATTTTCCTAGTTTTTAGATAACTAGAAAATACCATTTCATTGTTAACTTCTGTACTGGAAATGAGGGGGAAAGAAAGGGTCACAGCTGTATTTAGGATTTTTCTCTACCACCAAGCTCTGATGGCCTGGAGAAGGGACGATGGTGGGCAGGCACGGTATGATTCAGGTTTTAGCATCAGGAGAGAGCCATTTTAAGTCTGAGGTCTGGGTACTGACGGACAGAATTATGCTAACTTGGTGACAGCAGACCATCACACGGCAGGGAGATACATTAAGAGGTTGTTTATGTAATTTAAGGCAGGCTTAAAAATTTTGCAACTGTCATGTCATTGTGGGATTAGATAAAACAAGTTCCGAGTCTGGGATCTCAGTCCAGATCAAGCTGTACTATAACAGGCTGGAAAGAAGGAAAGGCTGCACTTCAGTCAGTCTCCTAATATCTTGGACTAAGTATGACATGGGGTTCATCTAAATCTGCTAGCATTTGGACCACACAATGGCATTTGTATCTGTGAATTCACTGAGAAGGTGAAAAGAACACTCTACTCTTGAAGAAGAAACTGCAGAGGCATTGCTGTGATATATTTTAGACTTGTTTGATCTCAAAGAAGGTGTCCCAACCCACACTGTGCTTCTCCTTCAGGGCATTTAGTTTTCCTTTCTGTATTTGGCTTTGCTCCCACATAGACTATGCATTTAAGAAATTTTGTGGTCAGGCACGGTAACTCACACTTGTAATATCAGCACTTTGGGAGTCCAAGGCAGTTGGATCACTTGAAGCCCGGGGTTCAAGACCAGCTTGGCCGACAATGGTGAAACCCCATCTCTACTAAAAATAAAAAAATTGGCTGAGCATGTTGGAGCATGCCTGTAATCCCATCTACTCAGGTGGCTGAGGCAAGAAAGTCCCTTGAACCCAGGAGGCAGAGGTTGCAATGAGCTGAGATCACACCACTGCACTCCAGCCTGGGTGACAGAATGAGTCTCTGTCTCAGAAGAAAACCAGCATTTTACATTTTTTTCCCCAGGATAGAACATTTCAGTAATTGTTTCTTTCACAAGCTATTCTGCCATATTAAGAAATGTGAATATTTTGCCCATGGTTCACGCTGAACATCTGTACTGAAATCACAATGTACATTGTAATTTTATTTACTATAGTTACTGTTTATATGTCAGAATATATCCCAGAAGATTTGAATTTTTAAAATAACCTACCTACTTAGCTGAAATAGTATATTGTAAGAACTTTCCTGAGTTTTCCAGTAAATTTTAATGGCAAATATAATTTCAGTAATCCTAAAAATTAGTAATAAGATCTTTCTCATAACCATTTAAAAGCTATTGAGCATGTGATAACATGAACATTGTGTGAATGTCAGGAAAGAATTATTAATCAGAAACCTGTGGGGTTTATGTTTTAGCAATTGTTGAGTTTATAATAAGAGACTTTGTATTATCATTTAAAAGAAACTGGGAATATAGCAAAATGAGCATTCTGTGAATTTGAGAAAAGAAATAATGAGAAATCTGTTTTTCTAATTTAATTTGTAGTGAGATCTATTAGGTTTTAGAAAACCTAACCTGAATAGTTTAGTTATCTATCTGCTTCTTTAATCATTTCATCTTTGTTGGATAAATACGAAATCCCAGAACATAGCCTCATAAAGGTGAAGTTTCCAGAGCATCACTTAAAACAGTGAATATAAGAGAGATTCGAATGAAAGAAATCCAAAGCCCTGTTTGGGATGATAACTAGAATTGAAGTGCTAGTGTTAGAAATACTGGTACCTCCTTAAATAGGAGTTAAATACTAAGATAATTAAAACCTTTGAGACTTTCATCCTATTTACAAAAATATCTTTGGGAAATAATAAAGTTAACTTTGTAACTAGATAACAATATAAAAGAAAATAGGCCAGGCGCAATGGCTCATACCTGTAATCCCAGCTGTTTGGGTGGTTGAGGCGGGTGGATCACCTGAAGTCAAGAGTTCGAGACCAGCCTGACCAATATGGTGAAATCCCATCTCTACTAAAAATACAAAAATTAGCCAGGCATGGTGGCAGACACCTGTAATTCCAGCTACTCAAGAAGCTGAGGCAGGGGAATTGCTTGAACCCAGGAGCTGAAGGTTGCAGTGAGCCAAGATCATGCCATTGTACTCCAGCCTGGGTGACAGAGTGAGACTCCATCTCAAAAAAAAAAAAAAGAAAGAAAAAAAGAAAAGAACATCAAAAGACTAAAAGAACACAGCAATTATTAATTTAAGTAGCAAGATTCTATTCAGTAAAAGAATTTTGAAATGATATCAAATAATTCTTCTTAGTTATATTGCTTATTAGTGAAAAGGTATCTTTATTTTGCATATTTTTATCTCTTTGGATATTTTATTTTATACATATTGAAATATTATTTTCATATTCATGTCAGGTACACCTTATTTCTGTTTTTATTAAATTGTATGTATTATTCAATCTGCGATTTGCTCCCTGCAAATATTTGAAACAATGTAAAGCAGATGGGGTTTGAGTAAGGAAAGGTACGGACTTAGGGAACTCTCATTGTGAGGAATTTCTCGTTGTGCTTCTCTCTGTTAATAGTTTCCTTAAAATTAATTTCTTCATTGCATTAAAGCTTAGATGTTAGCAGTTGTCTCCCTTAAGGAATTCTTCAGGAGATTCTTCCCATGGAGAGATACTGGTACCTCTCCTGTCTTTCAGAAATGCTTTTAGGTGTCTGTCTTTCCCAAAAGCTTAATGGAAACCTTCCTTCCTCTTCACCAGCTCCGATTGATAAGAGGTACAAATGCATCTAGTCTCTAAGCTTTACCATACATCAGTGTTATCTGGGATACTTCCTTGCTATAAACTTTTAGTGGCTCACTGGATAAGAAGGTTCAAACATCTTTGAATGGCACACAGACTGCAGATTCCGAAGAGTTTTCCAGAATCGGCTGCTTTCACAGCAGCATCTTTTCCATGTCTTCATAACTCTCTGATTCCTATGTTCTAGGCACTAGAGCATATTGTGCTGTTTTCTTCAGCCCTCTGCCTTCTTTAGTGCACAAGCACTGTGTTTTTCATGTTTGCATGCCCAGTATCAATTGCACAACAACTACCTGATACAAGGGGGCAAGTAATATTTGTTGTTTAAAAACTGGGGAAAATAGAAGCAGTTGCTTTTTACAGTGCTAATTGAATAGATAAGTGAAAAATTGTAGAATAGGTATTTAAATAAGGATAGAAAGTGAGAGGAAAGGGTGGAGCAAATTGGCAAAATAGAAGGCTCTACCAATCATACCCCCTGCAAGGTCACCAATTTAACAACTATCTACACATAAAAACACCTCTATAAGAATAAAAAATCAAGTGAGCACTTAAAGAATCTAGTTTAACTTTGTATCACTGAAAGAGACATTGAAGAGGTAGGAAAAAAAAATCTTGAGTCAACAATGCCATCCTTCACGGATCCTCTGGGAGCAGATGCGGTACAGAGAGTGCTTTTGTATGTTGGGGAGAGGGAGAGCACAGCAATTGTAAGGCATTGAGCCCTGAGCTGCCCTATTATAACAGAAAATATAACTGGACCAAACTCAGCTGACACTCACTGTATTAATCCATTCTCACTACTATAAAGAACTACCTAATACTGGATAATTTATCAAGTAAAGGGG